AATCGAATAAATATCTAATATATTTATAAGTCTATTATTAATGTAATATTATTTGATAATTTGAACGTGACTATTTTTCTTTCCTTCAGTAGTATTAGAGAAAAATAAACTTATTTTAAAGTTAATTTATTAATCTAAAAAGTTGATTAATGTCAATGATATTATATTCTATGAAAATATTTTTAGTATCATATTGAAAAAAGTAACATTATTTATTTTATTTATTTTATTTATTTTATTTATTTTATTTATTTAAACAATTGTTAATTTTATTCGATTAATATAATATAGATAATAAATAACTTTATAAAAATATGTTCATTAAATAAATATTTTAAATAGAGATATTTATTTATTTAATATATATTATTAAGGAAAATCTAATCTAATTCACTTTATCTTTCAAAGAAAACAATTCATGTTTCTTCAAAAAAAAAAAAACAAAAAAAAAAAATCAAAGAACTTCACGTTTTTTTTTTCTTCAAATATAATGGAATTTCATTGAAAAATAAAAAATAAAAAATGTTCCGGAAAATTGACAATGATAAATGCCGAACGCAACAAACGTTTGTCATGGTTAAATGAGTATATTTCCGCTTCCTAATCGTATGATGTTAACATTTGTTCTTTTTTTTTTCTTCTTCTTTGTATTGACATTTATTTATATTTGAACTGAAATAAGCTCGTTAAATATCGTTATATATCATCCGAACAATAAAATAAAATAAAATATGTATATTTAAATGTATATGATTTATAAAAGCAAATGCTTGAAATATTTTAATATTATTGTGTTAATTCAATTAATAGAAACGATAATCATGATAAAAAAGAAAAAAAAATAATAAAATTATTTTACAATTGAATATATATATGAAAATGCAAGTCATACTTAAATAATTTTATCTCTGATCATTTTTCAATTATTATTTATTTAAAGATAAAATCTTTTTAAATATATTTATTTAGGTTTTTTGTTTTGTTTTGTTTTGTTTTGTCTAAAATTGTTTGATTAAATGAATATATTAAATATTATATTTAAAAATAAAATAAAATAAATTAAATTAAATTAAATGATCGATTTTTAGTTAAAGATTTCTTTTATTTTATTTGTCTATTCAATTATTTTATATTATAAATAAATGTTAAGAACATCAATATTTGACTTTTGTTTTTTCTTTTTAAAATTTCATTTTTTTTTTTGTTTTTTTATTTCTTGTTTCTTTCGTTTAATATATATATTTGAAATAACATCAAAATAATATTTTAAAAGATATTAGATCTTTATTGTTTAAGCTCGATTTTTAATTAAAGAGACATTTGTCTATAAATAAACGAGATAAAGATAGAAAGAGAGAAAAAGAAAGAAAAAAAAAACGAAATCTATGATCAGGTATTGTCTTTAAGTATGCGATTATTGAGATGATTTTGTCTTGAATCTTGATCTCTCATTGATTTTCCTTCACTTAATTTTGGCCAACATAAATGCCGATTGAAAAGTAAAAAACATTTCATTGGAATTTCTTTTTATATTAAAAAATCATAAACAAAAATAAAATTATTAAAAAAAAATCGATAATAATAATAATAATAATACAAACTTTGTTGATTTGATGTACATAAAGATAGGTTTATGCAAGGTTCGTTAGAATATCGTTTCCCAATTCTAAGAAATGTGTGATATCGTCCAAGTTTCGGAATGTGATAAGATGGTGAGACAAGTGGAATCGATATAAGTAGAACAAGAATAAGAAGAAACATTTTGTAATATTACTGATTCTAGGACGCATTCATTGATGTTTCTACTGGAATCATATATAGTCAATTATATCGGAGCGCGAATCACACGACTAATCAGGTTTTAGAGAAAGATAAAGATAAAGATAAAGATAGAAGTAATGAATAAAATGAAACAAGTTTATAGCCGATGATTCGATCGATCATGGACGGACAAGTGGGCATATGACATCATCAGTATGTTATTCTGATCGAATAATCAAAGGATGAGAGAAACACACATCCTTTTTCATATCCGGCATTTCTTCTTCTTCTTCTTCTTTTTTTTAGCCTCTAGCACGAGATTGGAACGATCAGATTTATTGATAAAGAAAAAAAAGAACACAAAACAGAAATGTATTTATGTCTTAAATCGAACTTGTAATTGTCGACCATGGAATGGTGTTGCATTTAAACTTTGAACTGCCATCTGAGCTTCTTGATATTGTTCCATAGCGACAAATGCATATCTAAACAAATATTAATATTAAAGATTTTTAAAAATAAATAAATAAAATAATTTACCCTTTACATAAACCCGTATTAAAATCAATAATAATATCAACACGAAGAACACGTCCAAATGGTTGAAATAAAGCATAAATTTCTTCTTGAGTAGCTCTTTGTCCAATACCATAAATATAAACAACATGACCACCTTTAGGAGATTCAGGTGGTATAACTTGTTGTCCATATTCACCATAAACAGCTTGTTGAGTTCCAGGTTGTCCATAAGATGTTTGTTGAGGTGTTCCATAATATCCGGCATACATATCAGCTTGTTGTTGATAATGATGTGGAAGACCAAATGGATTTCCAAAAGCTCCATATGATGTTTGTGCTGCTGCAGCAACAGCAGCTGCAACTCCATTATTCCATTGACCTTGAAGTTGTGAAGCATTACGTGCTTGATAACCAGCTTGTTGAGCACCTAATGGATCATAACGATTACTTCCATAATTTCTTTGTTGTTTTAATTTATATGAATTTGTTCCTGATGGATTTTGATTATTTCCATTTGAATTATTTGTTTGACCACTACCACCATAAGAATTCATTGATGGACGATTTGTTGTTACAGTTGTTGATATTTGATGTTGAGGATAAGACTCATTTCTTTGTTCATTGCTTTGTTGCGATGAATATTCTCCTCCTGTGTATTCATTTGTACTGCTTGATTGTTGTTGTTGTTGTTGTTGTTGTTGCGGTTTTGTTGCACCGTTATCCCTTTAATTAAAAATATTTATTTTTATTTTTTATTTTTTTATTTTTAAATTAATGAGAATTTGATTTAAAAAGAAAAAAAAATAAATAAATAAAAACGCGATTTGGGAAAAAATGGAATAATCTCACTTTTTCTCATCATTTCTCTATTTTCTAACTCACATAATTAGGAGCGGCTTTGTAGACTCGCTTAGTCACAGCGAAAGATTTGATAGAATTAAAGAGGAGACAAAAATCTAAAAATAGAGGAAAAAAAAAGCCCAAAAAAAAAACAAAAAAAAAATAAAAATAAAAAAAATTTTTCTTTACAAAAATGTAAAACAGGGATTATTTTGATTACCCGTTATTTATTTAATTATTTGAATTAAATCTAGAAAAAGAAAAGTTCATATATTGATTGCATTTTAAAAATATTAATTCTTGATTAATTATCATTGATAAACAATATAAAATATAATATAATATCATATTCATTTATTATTATTCACCATTTTATTAAAATATCATAAAATTTAAAACAGTTTTATATAAATATATATTCAAATAATAATTTCTTTGTTTTATCTTAGTTTTATATATTTCATTGTTTTACACCGAACATTTTCATGAAAAATAATATAACATAAATAATAATTTCAATGACAAATAAAGTAAATAAACAACTAGGAAATTTTATTTCTTTTTGCTTTTTTGTTTATTAATCATTTAATATTAACAATTTTAATTCGACGATTAGAAGAAAAAAAGCAAATAATCATTTTCATTTTTTTATAAAATTCTTTAAAGATAATTGAAAATCAATGAATAACATTCATCTACATCTGAACAATCATTAACAACTATTTTTTTTTTCTTGCAATCAATTAACTAAACAAATTCAGCCATGTTGATTTATCACCGTGTGTCTTGTCCTCCTTTTATTCTTTGTCCAATAAAAGATGTCGCTATAAATCAATTATTTTTATATTATTCATTCAATAGAAAATATCAAATACAAATAATTTCTTTAATTCATCATTTTCACAAGTTCGAATTAAGTTTTTTTTATTCAATTTATCCAATTAAATAAAATAATCATTTTCTACTCTTTACAGTTTAATGACAATAAAACTTAGTTTTTATTCTACAAACAGAATACATAAGAGTTTTATTTTACAATTTGAATAAACGAAGTTTACTTAAAATAAACAATGAGAACGCGTCACTTTTGATATTGAAAATGTGCAAATGTTATTAATTTTTAATGCCATTATCAGAGTACTTTCATATATTGAAAATATGAAGAATTTTTAACAAGTTAAACATTGTAATAAGCAACTTTTAAGATATTTAAATCCTTCCTATTATAAATTGTTGTTTCATCTTTCTTGTCTTTAATTGACTTGTTTCGAATGATATTCTTCTTGGTCTATTAAAATTGAAGTTTTTCATTTCTGATTTGATCAGTTTTTTTAATCAAAACTTATTAAAACAACATATTAAAATATTAAATAAATTTCCAAAATAGAACATTGATAGACAATTACTTCATCTTTTTTCTTATTCTATTATTTATATGACATAAAATTTTATTTTAATTAACATTATTATTTATACCTTAATCTATTCAAACTGAGAATTTGAAGGATGGATTGGGGACGAGAGAGATACGATATTTCTTCTTGCTCTGAATAATGACAAATTCGAATTTCTTTTTAAAAATTATTAAAATAAATTATGTTCTTTAATCTATGTATATAAAGAAGAATGTTTGTCTGTTTGTCTGTTCGCTATTCACTTGGACACGGTATGAAAAAATGCAATGAAATTTTGCAGGAAATACCCTTTCGTCCAGGGGAAGGTCATAGGGTGGTTTTCGACCCAAAGCTTTCACCTGAGGGGAGTGTTTGCCCCTTCTTTTGTTGAATTACTACAATAAATGCCTTTTCTAGAGAGTCTGTGCATGTGATTGTTTCTATCTATATACCATAAGGAAAAAACGTGCATATGAATCTGTTTTTCTAGCTCACAATGATGGCATATTCGTTCTTTTTCTTGACTCACAACGATGGCGTATCAGTTCTTTTTCCTGACTCACAGTGGTGCCGGATTAGTGATATGAATGTATTTGTTTACAATGTTTAGATAATCAGCTGTAGCATATTTTTGAATATAATTTGGCTTCCTTGTCATTCGTTATGCATGCCCATGATGTAACGCATTCCTTCTGACACATCATATGTAGTCATTAGAATTTTCGCATCACGCTGTAGGATGACGTTATAGGAATGTTTCAGTGTTTCGTATCTATATAGGGTGTGGGTGGGGGTGGGAGTGGGGGTGCGTGTGGGTAGCGGCGGAAATGCACTTCTACCCATATGGACACCACCCATACCAAATTGTAATGGCCTCTTCTGGAATTGCTGCTACATTAGTTCACGGTGGTCGTACTGCTCATTCAACCCTGAAACTGCCTCTTAACCTTACACATTCTGAAAATCCTCTCTGCAACATCAGCAAAGGAACAGGCCAAGCGAAGGTTCTGCAAGAGTGCGAACTTATTGTGTGGGATGAGTGTACAATGGCCCACAAAAATGCATTGGAAGCTCTAGATCGAACTCTTCAAGACTTTAGGGGGAATCAAATAGTTATGGGTGGAGTGGTTCTACTCCTAGCAGGTGATTTTCGTCAAACACTGCCGGTCATTCCAAAGGGAACAATGGCTGATGCACTTAAAGCTTGCTGGAAAGCTTCAAATCTATGGACATATGTGCACAAGCTAGAGCTCACAACCAACATGCGAGTTCACTTGCAGGGTGATTTGTCTGCTGGCCGTTTTGCTCAAGAACCGCTCACTCTTGGTGATGGAAAAGTACGAGTTGATCCAACAAGTGGACTCATCAGCATTCCAGAGAACTTTTGCAATATAGCACAGTCAGTGGAAGAACTAAAAACAAGTGTGTTCTCAAATATTCGGCACCATTTCAACGATCACAAATGGCTTTGTGAACGTGCCATTCTTGCTCCTAAAAGTGACAGTGTAAATACCATCAACTTACAGATTCAACAGCAGCTACCTGGAGAAGCTACATCGTACAAATCGATCGATACAGTTGCGGATGTGGACAAGGCGGTTCATTATCCCACCGAATTTCTTAACTCTCTCGAGCCTCCTGGAATGCCGCCACATAACTTGGTGCTCAAAATCGGTTCTCCAATTATGTTACTGAGGAATCTGGATGCACCAAGACTATGCAATGGTACAAGACTGTGCGTGAAAAGCTTAATGCCTCATGTTATCGAAGCAACTATCTTGACAGGCTGCGCAAAGGGTGAGGATATATTCATACCACGAATACCCATGGTTCCTTCTGATATGCCTTTTGAATTCAAACGTCTACAATTTCCAATTCGTCTCGCCTTCGCGATGTCCATCAACAAAGCTCAAGGACAGTCTCTTAAGATTGCCGGCATTAACCTAGAAATCCCTTGCTTTTCTCACGGTCAACTTTACGTGGCATGTTCAAGAGTTGGAACTGGAAAAAATTTGTACGTCTTTGCCCTGATTCGAAAACTCAAAAACATTGTGTATCAATCTGCTTTACAATAAAACTGTTTTTCAGTACGGATAGATTTTTTTAAACCTTCTACTGTGTCAAGGATGCATTATCAAATTTCCCGGGCAACGCCGTGTACCTCCGCTAGTACCCTATAAAGTAAAATAATAAAAAAATTTCATTATCCGACAAGTGACAATTATAGAATCATCGTTGATCTAAGAGTTTTTTCAACTTTAATTGTAGTAACATGTTATGAAGTTTTTACGTATGAAGAACTTTGTTTGTTAAGACAATCATCATGAGCGTGATCGCCTTCGGCGGTAAACTTATTTTAAAAAAGTGTTGTAATTGGCATTTAACCATAGTTTAGTTTTTCAAATGAAATCGTAAGAGAAAAATTAAAATTCTCAATAATTTCATTAAAAAATTAGTAGGAAAGGTAGTGCCAGTTGCCAAAGCGTAAGCAGTGTTCAAAACATGAAAATTCATTAGAAATCAATTTGAATAGACGTCAACGTGAACGCATTCAGCGTTTAGTGTTGAGAACCTTTTTTTCGAGTTCATATGAATATATTTTTCTTCTTCAAAAATAAGGTGAATAAAATCGAATATTTTTTAATAGTGTGAGATCTTCCTCAATTGAAAATCTTTCTTGTATTATAAATAGAGAAAACAAAACTACACAATAATCTTATTGAAAAAATGTCAATCTGTCTTCTAATCTTGATCAACTGAGAATTTTCGTCTTTTTTTCTTTCTTTTCTTCCTTCATACATCTCAGAATATCTCTCACCTCTATTAATGTTTTATTCATATGATAATATTAATTGAACGACATTCTATACATAGCACAAAATGCATTGAAATCTATCGCTATTTTAAACACATAAGAACTTAGAAGAATATTTTTTTTACATATCCAAAAGTTTCAAGATTCGATGTATCCCGATCGTCAACCATATTTTCGAACAAAATAATAAGTAAAAACAAGAAATCAGACAATAGAAATATATTTTGAGGGAAGTAAGATAAAAAGAAGCAATTGCTACTGTGTTTTGGTACAACTGCACAAGAACGACACCGCGGCACCCACACTCTTTGATGTGTCCTATCAATTAGATCATTTAGCAGGGGTGAGCGAGTCAGGCGATTTCTCGAGTCGAGTCGAGTCCGAGTCATTTCGGAATGACTTCGAGTCGAGTCGAATCGAGTCAAATTATTTTTATGATTTTTCTCGTTTTCTGTTTTGTTTATAAAGAACGTCAACCACAGATTTTTCATTACACGATATGTAGTTCCTAGTTTTTACGCACAAAAATAAAAATAAGAAGTTACACAGAAAATAAAATGCTGCAACTATTCTAGATTAATCAA